GTCATGATCCCGGAGTCCTGGGATCGAGCCCCGCATCGGGCTCCCTGCTCGGCGGGAAGCCTGCTCCTCCCTCTCCCACTCCCCCTGCTTGTGTTTCCTCTCTCGCTGTGTCTTTCTCTGTCAAAAAATAAATAAAAAAATCTTCAAAAAAAAAAAAAACGCAGATACCTTCCAACTCGGAGCTCTCCTCATTCTAACAAGACCCAAACCTGGCGTCACCCACAGTGACGCCACATTGGAGCATCGAGTCAGAAGCACATGCGGAGTTTGTTTGCATAGACCGCGTCGCTCAGCTCTGTGTATCTCCTTCTGTCCCCAGGAAATACCTTTGGACCAGGTGGACATAGACAAGGAGAATGAGATGCTCGTCACCGTGGCGCACTTCCACAAAGAGGTGTTTGGGACGTTCGGGATTCCATTTTTGCTGAGGATACACCAGGTGAGGATGTTTGGTAATAGGTCGAGTATCCTCCGTCTCGTAGTGCTTTGGGATTCATGCTGCTGAATCTGGGCTCCTCTGGGCTGATGATGAGCTTTGGTGGTGTCCACGGGGGCCACGAGGGGCCGCCGCCACGGAGGGGCGCATACAGATGAGTGTGCACATACGTGTCCTTTACCGTTCGTAGGGCGAGCATTTCAGAGAAGTCATGAAACGGATTCAGAGTCTGCTAGACATCCAGGAAAAGGAGTTTGAGAAGGTACACACGTCTTGGGCACTTGTGAGGGATGTCGGGCAGCACCCCGAAACCTTGGCTCAGGAAGCAGCCGAGACTGTGGCCAGAGGTGTGCGTTCGCTCGTGCCCAGAGTTCACGGAGGAGGGGCCCTTCTGTCTTTCAGTTTAAATTTGCCATTGTGATGATGGGCCGACACCAGTACATAAACGAGGATGAGTATGAAGTGAACTTGAAAGACTTTGAGCCCCAGCCTGGTAAGCCCGCCCCGGGTTCCAGGGGCGTCTGTGAAGCAGGGAGGAACAGTGCGTGACCAGGGTTGAGACGTCGGTGGCCTGGTCCGTGAGGGTGGGCGGTGCTTGGGTCCGAGTCCCAGCTTCCCGGTAGCCACACCTCGGGTCAGCCACTGGCCCTGGGCTTCTGGGACTTGCTCTCCGTCCGGTCTCAGCTGTGTCTCTCTCTCCACCAGGTAACATGTCTCATCCTCGGCCTTGGCTAGGGCTCGACCACTTCAACAAAGCCCCAAAGAGGAGTCGCTACACTTACCTGGAAAAGGCCATTAAAATCCATAACTGACTTCCTTACCCAGTGTGTGCAAGGCGAGGGGCCGTGCGTGGGTGTGTGCCCCTTTTTAACAGCCTAGAACTTTGGTACACGTGCACTCTATCCGAAGTCTTCAGCAAGGGGATTTGCTGCTGATGTTAATTTTATTTTGTTGAGGCTGTTCAGTTTGGCTTCTCTGTATCTATTGACTGCCCTTTTTGAGCAAAATGAAGGTGTTTTTATAAAGCTTGGATGCCAATGAGAGTTATTTTATGGTAACCACAGTGCAAGGCGACGGCCAGCATTGCGGGGGAGAAGAGGTGAGGGCCGTGAGGCTCTGGCGAGAGGCCTCTGGTCTGTTCCTAGCCGGCGGAGGCCGCCTGGCTGCCTTCCTAGGGTCGCGGTCACCAGCCCTGCGGCTGGTCTTGCGTGTAGGCTTGTCTGACGTATTTTCCTCTCAGTTCTACTTGCCATGACCTTTTGTGCATCTGTAAAGGCAAAACAGAGAAACTCACAACCTAATAAATAGTGCTCTTTCCTTCACTGCGTGTACTGTCCCCCTTCCTCGGTCCTCCTCCCGCTGCCTGGGTCTCAGTAAACGTGTCTCACCCTGCCAGTCACCACCGTTCCGCAGCCTGCTCGCAACGTGGAGGCACTGAATACAAATACGGGCCTGCCAGGCGGTTCGGGGTCTTTTTATTCAATTGAAAACACTGTCCAATGCAGTTAAGGTGTATCTGCTGCCTCTCGGCAGACCTAACGATCTCACCCACTCATACAGGCAGGTGAAGCAGTTACCAGTAGAATTTCTTCGAAACAGAACAGACGGAAGGAGAAAAGGAGAGCCTTTTAGCAAAGAGGGCATGCTCACTAGTGGTCAGTAAGCTGTTGACTTTGTAAAAAAGGTTAAAAAAAAAAAAAAAAAGAAATGAAATTGTATATTTAATGAATGAACATGTAAAATTCGCCACTGGGAGGAGGTGACTTTGTTGGGTGCATCTAAGTGACTCTCACTGATGTTGATATTCATTGTGTGTAGTTTTATTTCAGTCCCAGCCTTGTTTCCTTTTATTTTGGAGCTAATGCCGGCTGCGTGTCTAGTTTTGAGTGCAGTAAAATAGAATCAGCAGATCACACTTATTTTTCATCCTTTTCCAGGATTTTTGTTTGTTTCTGTAGCAGCAATGTACACCAACTCTTCCTGTATATTGCCTTTTTGCTGGAAAATGTTGTATGTTGAATAAAATTTTCTATAAAAACTATAAATCAGTGAGTGACGTGGAGGTCGAGGGAGGTGTCCCCTCTGCTGGTCGTGTTGCTCTCGGACGGTCCTGGTTTCCTGGGGGTTTTGGGATTTTGCTTCTTCCTAGTTCCGTTTAAGCTCAAGCAAGAGGAGGTTTTCTAGGAGGAAGCCGGGCATGCAGGAGGGGGCTGGAAACACTACGGGAACAGTGGGAGGTGCTGCCCAGGGGAGCCGTGTGCGGCTCACTGCCTGGGCCTACTGTGCCACCCCGCGTGGGTTCCTGGGCTCTGGGCTGGTCTCTGCTGCGAAAGGACTTCGTTTCCAGGTTTCCACGGCCCCGCGTGTGCCTTCGTTCCCCAAGAGCTGCCTCCCGGGGCGTGTGGGCGGCACGTTGCAGGGGTGCCCTCCATGCCCGAGCCCTTCTGCTGGAGGAGGAGGAGGTACAGGCAGGCCAGAGAGGATCTTTTTCTGCGTGTTTGACTTTGGGCATTACACGGTCGATCTCGTGTTTCCGCTTTGGCTGTGGGTCGGTTCTCGTTGGGTAGCTGGCACAGCGTTCTCCCTGAAGGTACCAAGTGACTGTTTGTACGGAAGCCTGATGGTGTGGACGTGTTCTGCGTTTACTTTTTCATTCCATCCCAACTGTGGAGTTGAGCGTCTGAATTCGTAGAACGTTTCTTGGGGTACGGGGTGGAACTGCCTTTAGCTCATTCTAAACCCCGAGGACTTTCCCATCTGTTGGCGGCCGTCAGAGTCCCCAGACGGAGTCCCTTGGGAAGCATGCTGTAACAGGACTGTGACCTGCATGTGGGCGCCGTGGGCGGAGAAAAGGCGGGAAGTGCCTTCCCGTGGGGGCATCTTTGGAACGCGTTGCTGGCCTTTCTCGGAGCTCCAAGGCGGCGGTCTCGGGGACCACCACTTCCGCGGGAAGGGGCGTGTGTTGCTACGGTGGTGAACGGCAGGGTCTGCGTGTGTGCCGCTGGGAGGTGCGGCTTTGGTGTGGAACGAAGCGCCAGGGTGAGGCGCCCCGACCCCAGGTGGGCGATCGGTGCCTGACGGTGGTGAGCGGGGGACAGACAGTGGCGTCTCAGGACCGTGTCTTCCCAGGCAGGCCTCAGCCAGGGCTTTCCTGCCGCCCGGGGACGGAGACTCGTGAGGACGTTGCCGAAGTGCCCCGTGCGAACGCGCAGTGTGGGCGGGGCAGGCGCTGGCTGCGGGGGCCTGTGTGCGGCTCCCGGGCGGCTCCACTCGGCCCCGCTGCTTGTCTGGGGGCCGCCATACGGCACGCGGGGGAGCCAGGGTTCCAGCAGAACTTGATCAAACCGGGCAAAAGTGGTCAGAGCTCACCGACCCTGACGGTGTGTGTGTGTGTGTGTGGGGAGGTCGGCCCACGCGGGAGAGGCTGCCCGAGAACACCCGTGGCGCCAGGCACGGCCCCTCACGGACACCCCGGGCGCCCGTGTCAGATGTTGTGGAGAACCTTGTGCCCCCGCGGAGTCCCGTTGGGGGCCCCCAGCCTCTCCCCGCATCTTGCCGTGTCTGTGCGAGCTCCGCGCTGTGGAGGAGCCCCCCCTCCTGCCCGCCCACGTGGGGAGCTCTGTCTGCGCGACCCAGAGCACCGGCCGCGGCGGGTGTGCCTGCTGAGCTCCTCGGGTGTTGGCCAAGGGGCTGAGAGTGGTTTTAATTTAACTTAAATCGCAACAAGGGTCTAACCTCTACAAGGTTGGAAAAGGCCGGTCTTTGTTTTTTTAGATTTTATTGGACAGAGCGAGAGAACAGAAGCAGGGGGAGCAGAAGGAGAGGGAGAAGCAGGCTCCCCGCTGAGCAGGGGCTCGATCCCAGGACCCCAGGATGACGACGTGAGCTGAAGGCAGACGCTTAACTGAACCACCCAGGTGTCGTGGAAACGGCCGTTCTAACCAGACTTTCCCCATGTTCTGGGTTGTTCCAGCAATTAGCTCATTTGGAGCCTCAACTTAAGACCTAAAACACTAGTGGGTTTGTCTGACCTTTTCATGAAAGAGCCTTCCAGAGCTCTCGTGTACTGGATGGGAGCAAAATTAAATAACAATAGCAAGGCTTCGCGAGGTCCTTTGCCTTGCCAGTGGGGAACAGGAACTTGTGCAGACTCCCCCTTCCCCGCCTTTCTCTTGGAGGGAGGCTTTGAAGCCAGGCCTGTGGGGGATTTTCAGAGGGCTCAGAGCAAAACTGCAGGGAGGATCCCTACGCATCTGCCCTCCGAACTGCCAGTGGATGGATCCAGGAGTGGGCATGCAGGTGTTCACACCACGATCTGGCCTGAGTTGATACAGACTCGAAGATGTGATAAAATGGGGCGCCTGGGTGGCTCAGTCGTTAAGTGTCTCCCTTCGGCTCAGGTCATGATCCTGGGGTCCTGGGATCGAGCCCCACGTCGGGCTCTCTGCTCAGCAGGGAGTCTGCTTCTCCCTCTGCCTTCAGCCCCCACTGCTTGTGCCCTCTCTCTCTCATAAATAAACCTTTAAAAGGAAAATGTGTTAAAATGTTGGGAGGGGAAAGTACACTCAGAGCCCCCGAGGTGCTTACCCATCGCCTTCCTCACTAGTGAAGAGCCAGTCCCTTCAGGCTCCTTTCTGCAAAGTCAGCCTCGCGGGGGGCAGGCGGCAGAGACGGGCTTCAGCACCCACAGGCCCTCACCGTCCTCGCCTCTGCGCACACCGCACGGCTTGGCCTGGGTGCCCCAGCTCCCCGCGGTGGCTCGGCTTGTGTGAGCGCTCCTGGACGTGGCGGGGCCCCCATGCCGACAGAGGCCCGCTAGCCCCGTAGGCCACCTGTCCCGGCCGGCAGCACACCCTCCGGCCTGCACCCATGCTACGGGGGGGGGGGGCCCTGTCCCCCCTCTGGGCTTGGGCCATGCTTGGGGGAGAGAGTAGCTAAGACGGCTGTGGAGCACGCGGGGCTGCACCAGGTTGTGCCACTTGGCTGGGCTCTCGGCCTCCCACTTCCCAGGTGCTCCCAGCCGGCCACCCGGGGTGGAAGGAGCAGGGCTGTTCCCGTTTGCCGGTGAGGAGGGCTTGCAGGATCCCAAGGCGGGGGCTCCCTCTGAGCCCCGGGCCCTTGTGGCCATGCTGCCCAGGTGGCCCTCAGGGAAAGGTGCGCACCGGGAGGAGGCGGCCGCAACCCCCCAGCCGGACTCTAGTGAAGTCTTGGGACAGGACCACCGAGGCCCCCTCAGGGTGGGGCCCCACGTCAAGGCAGTGAGGAGGCCCTGGGATCGTGGGCACGGTAGGGAGTGGTGGGGCCGAGCCCCACGGACAGCAATTAGCCCAACCGTTGCTGGAGGAGGGGTCCGTGCAGCTGGACCTTCAGAGGTTTTAAAAAGTCGAAGTCCGGATTTTCATTGTGAATCTCCTGATCTTTTAAGTCCACGAATGACATTTTCTTACACTGGGCAGTCAGAAAGGCCCGGGGACTGACTGATGGGCTCACGGCTGGGTGCTGGCCAGAGCTGTGCGGAACCTCGGGGGCCCACGGCCTCAGAAGGGTAGGGTGACAGCTGAACCAGGCCAGGGAAGGAGGACCCCGAACCCCGGCGCCCTGGGGCATCGGAGCAACGCGGCGTGCCCCGTGACAAGTACCTGTCCGAGGACGGAGCACTCCTGTCTGTGGCCCCGTCTGGGAATCCCAGTCAAAACCAGTGAGCTGCGTGCTAGGAGCATGGAACCCAGATAAGGCCCCTGAGGTGAGTTCTGCAGATGCATCCGCTTCCAGCTCAAGACTGGCCTTGGCCTCGTCAGCAGAGCCAGACTGTCCCCACATGGCCCGGGCACCTCTGCACAGGCGTGGAGCTCCTCCAAGCCCAAGATTGGCCCAGTCCCAGTGAAGACGTCTGCTGTGTGCTGGTGGCTGGCAGGCCTGCCCTGGCCCCACTCACTCCCTTCCCTTGCTGTAATTGTGTCCCGCTGTGGCTGAGACGGCTCCGAGCCCAGGTGGGCGGCCCATCTCCCTGAGTTCACCCGGCGCCCCCACCCCGTCCTGATGAGAGACGGGTCCCTAGGTACTGAGTGCCCACTGTAGGTTGGGTGCTCCAGGGAGACAGGCCCTGGTTTCTGCAGCTGCTGGGTACTGGGGCGGGGGGCCCTCCTGCCCGGGCTTCCGCAGCTATGGGGTGGGGGCACGCTGCCCTCCCGGGGCGGGGGAGGGAAATGCCGAGGAGCATCACAGGAAATGTAGTTCTTTTTTTTTTTTTTTTTAATTTTTAACCCAGTTTCCTTTCTTTCCTGCCCCCTAATTCACCCACTTCCTTTCCCTTCTATAGGAAATTCATTTTCCTTGAGAAGATGGGTGAATAACAATTATTTTGCTAAATAAAATTTCATCAGGGGTGCACCTGGCTGGCTCAGCCGGAAGAGCATGATCTCAGGGTTGTGAGCTGGAGCTCCACATCAGGTGTAGAGATTAATTAAAAACCTTTAAAAAAAAACAAAAACCCCAGGGCGCCTGGATGGCTCAGTTGGTTGAGCGACTGCCTTCGGCTCAGGTCATGATCCCGGAGTCCCGGGATCGAGTCCCACATCGGGCTCCCTGCTCAGCGGGGGGTCTGCTGCTCCCTCTGACCCTCTCCCCTCTCGTGCTCTCATTCTCTCTCTCAAATAAAATCTTTAAAAAAAGAAAAAACCCTAAACCAAAAGTTCTCCCTTGGTTGTGCCCCCGGGTTTCCCTGTAGGCTCTCCCCAGCCCCACCCCATCCCCTGCAGACCCCGTATTACCCAGAGGGTATTCTGTTCACCAGCTTGGGGCCTTCGCTGTCCCAAGCATTTGCCTAAGCCCCGCAGATCTGTGAGGCCGTGGATACCGGGGAGTGAGGCATGTCCCCCCCCCCCGCCCCCGGCTGGAGGTGCCCAAGCTTGAGCTGATGGGAAGGAGCCAGGAAGGGAGGAGTTAACCGCACTCAGGTTTCTGAGGGGTCAGAAGGGGGGCGGGGTACCACGCCCCCCCTTCATTCCCCCATGGCTGCCTGAGCCCTCAGTGCTAGCCCCGCCCTCCCTGGGCCAGGAGGGACCCCAGCAGGACAGACGTGGGCACACACACAGGGCACTTAATGGACATTTATTTCGCAGACGTTCACAGGCGATGGTAGCGGAAGAGCTCTTGCCGGCACACGGGGCACGTGTGCTTCACGTCCATCAAACTGTCCACACAGAAGGGGAGGAAGCAGCATCCCAGGACGCACCTGCAGCCTCAGGAGAGCGGGGTGTGGGGGTCAGCCCTGAGGTTCCCCCGGGGGGGCCCCCTCTGTCCTTGCTCCTGCCTGGCCGCCCCCCCCCCCAGTGGGCCCCTGCAGAGGTGAAGGCAGGGGGCACTCACCCAAACACAAAGAGGCTGGTACACAATAGCCAGGTGAGGACCCCTGGGACCGGGCTGGTCACTGTGATGATGTAGTTCCCACAGTAGCGACATACGGACCGTATGGGGGTGGCAGACCCCATCCTAGGCAAGCTGGTGAACACCGCTGGCAGCGGGGGATGGCAGCTCAGACCTTGGCCCCCTCCCCGCCCTCCCGGTGTCCACCACTGGCTGGGCCCTACTGTGTGTTCTCTGTGCTCCCCTGCGCGTCAGGTCCCCCTGGGGGGTGGAGCTCCGACTTCCCCTCACAATCCCATTTCCCACCACCCACTGCCACTAGCCTTTAGGACCCAGGGGCCTCCCTCCGTCAAGACACCCTGTCTCCCCTGGCCAGGACACCCAGGGAATTGGGGAGCATCTCTGGGTTGGAACTGGGCCCCTACAAATCAGCGAGCCCTCCAGGATAGCGTGCTCGTCTGTCCCCTTCCTGGGGTGTCCATGACAGGGCCGAATCCCCGCCCTGGGTAAAAAGCTCCGACACCTTGGTGAAGCATGGTGGGAAAGCAACAAAACCGAGAACCCACCTGTTGGTGTTCTCGTGTCTTCCTCTTGCATTTGCACAGTGGGGCCAAAACATGTGTTTAGCTATTTAAACACCACAGCCATTTCTACCATCTTGGGTGTGCGGAGAAAGGAGGACTCTGGTGGTGGCTGAGTTTGTTAAAACAGTCCCAGCGAGCTTTATGTTCTGGCCGAGGGCTCGGGGTCTGGTCTGGATAGGCTGTCTGGAGCTTATGGCCTTGGGGTGTGCCAATCCCTTTGGGGTCGGGGGTGAGGGGGAGTAGGGATCTGGAGCCCCAGAACCTTGGCAGGCAGGGGTGCAGACTCCCTGGGTGAGCAGGGAGCTAAGGCAAGAACTGTGTGGCTTTTATGGGCGTCCCCAATGGTCTCTCCGGCTATGAGGGGGGTCTTCTTCATCCTGCCCACTGGCAACGTACAGCCCAGCCCTGCAGCGCTCGACCCTTGGAGACCTCTGAAGTGTCCTCAGTTCCCTGGCACCCTTGTGAACCTGGGTGGCGGGGGCTGGGGGCTGCCTTCCCCTCCTCCCGTTGGGGGTGGTGCATGGCGGAGTAGGGAATGGGCTTTCACCAGGATTTCACTCCCAAAGCCTTCCCTGAGCGCCCACCATGGACCAGCCCCCTCCACCACTGATTTCCCATCAGAGATGGGGCAGCACCAGTCAGCTTGGGGGTCACACAGCAGTGGGGTCCGTGGAGAAGGGCTTTCAGAGGAGGTGCTGTTGGGGCAGAGTCCTGGCGAGTGGTCAGGGTGGTCTGAGCCTGAGCCCAGGAAAACGAGGAGGGGAGGGGGGTAGAGGTACTCACCCGGCTGAGCCCCCGGGGGGCCTTGGATGTACATCGGGGGAAGAACTGGAGTTCCTGGAGGCGGAGGAAGAGGAGGAGGCTCTTTGGGAGAGAGGAAGGAAACACACCCTCAGATCCCACGGCTTGCTCCGTGCCAGGCGCCGAGCTGACAGCATGGCCAGCCTGAGGGTGTCACCCACTTTACAGGAGGGCAGGCTGAGGCCTGGAGGAATGAATGTGAGTGGCTGAGGTTTGAACCCAGACATTTCTGGCTCCAAATGTGTCCTCGTGTCCTAGGATGTACGAGCTTCCTGGATGCACTGCCAGGAAGCTGAGGATACAAAAAGAGCACGGGGCCCACAATCTCTCTTTAAAAAACTTTGGAGGGGCGCCTGGGTGGCTCAGTCGTTAAGCGTCTGCCTTCAGCTCAGGTCATGATCCCAGGATCCTGGGATCGAGCCCCGCATCGGGCTCCCTGCTCGGTGGGCAGCCTGCTTCTCCCTCTCCCTGCCGGTTCCCCCTGCTTGTGCTGTCAAATAAATAAAATCTTTAAAAAACAGTATCTAGCATTTGTTATGTGCCAAACTCAGCTAAACCTTTGACATACCTCATTCCATTGACTCTTGCCAAAACACCAAAGAGGTAGCCATGTGGTATCATTCCAATTTTGCAGATGTGGAGACCAGACTCAAGAGAGGTTAAGTAACTTGCCCGAGGTCGCCCCGTAGGTACAAAAGGTGAGGATGCCCACGTCCAGAGCACATGCCACTGCGTGTTAAGCCCCTTGCCTCTGGACAGGACAGCTCCAAGAGGGGCAGAGTTTCATCTACTCCTTCCGAGGAGGACTGTATGGGCCCCAGGTCTGCCCACATTGCTCCCAACCTTGGTTCCCTCCTGCCCCACAAGGGGCCTTCCACACCGTGTGGACAGCCAATCTGGCCCCCAGCTCCCAGCCCTTGGTTGATGGATGGGGGTCCATTTCCGTGTCTACGGGGAAGCACATGGACCCTTGGCATGGGGACCGGCCTCTCCCAGGTTAGGGGCCTGGTGGCTTGAAGGGGGCAGCCTGGGGTCCCCCCACCCACAGCCTCTTCCCACAGTGGGGACAGCTGGAGCACAGGAAGCCCCTCACTTTTTGCCACACAGTCTAGACTCCTGGGGACAGGTGCCCCCAACAGCCCTGCCTGAAGCTGGGTTTTGTACCCATTTTACAGGTGAGGAAAGTGAAGGCCAGGGGGTAACCAGTCACTGGGCCTCAACAGCTGAGTTAGCGGCTGCCAGCCCTGCATCAACCAGCTCTTAATCCTCGCAACCATTTTCCAGATAGAAAACGGATCCAAAGAGATTGAGTGACTTGACCAAGATCTCATCAGCAGGGCCAGGATCCCCCGACCCCGCCAACCCTGCCAGTCTGGGTTGTGTCTGGCCATGAGGGTGGGCAGGGGACAGGAGGGGCAGGTCGTACCTGATACGAGGGAGCCGTTAGTCTTCTTCCTTGACTTTCTAACACTTTTAAGAGAGGGTAGGGGATGCTGGGGACCCCACTTTGTCCCACGCTCGGTCACACATTGGGTCCCACGGTCCCCCGGCTGGTGGGGGACAGTAGGAGGACTGGATTCAGCACCCAGCTGAGCAAGGGGACCCAGAGTCTCCTCTCCTGCTTCCCGTGGGCCCCGAAGTCAACTTGTCACCGGGAGGGGGGTGGTACTCTCACCTTGGGGAGGGTTCCATCTTGGTGCCCTGGACGTCCTTTGTTCCAGCAACGGTATCCGGGCAGCATCGAGTTCCGGGCTCTGAGCAGCCAAGCGCTTGTCTCGAGGAGTCCCCATGATGCCACCTGGTTGCCCTGGGACCGGAGTGCGGACCTCCCTGATGCCTCTTCCCAGGCCTGGCTCAGGTGGAAAAGGCATTGTGATGTGCGTCCTCAGGGGACCTAGGGCTGGGCTCTGTCACCTCTCTCTGCAGGAGGAGGGTGGGGCCTCCCAGGGCCTGGCGTGGGAAGCCTTCGGAGGTGGCCCTTCTCCCCCACAGGGCCCACTGACCTCCTCGGGGGCCCGGCCGAATCCAGCCCTGAGTTCCTGGAGCGCAGGGCCCGGCGGGGGTGGGGCGGCAACCAATCCAGAGACTTAAAAACAGGAATCTGACAAGAGCTAGAGATTCTGCTTTGAGGAAGTCATCCTGATGTGTGTGAACAGCCGGCCGTGTGGATGGCCACGTCCTGTTGAGAAATGTACGGAGGCACATGGATACACACTATATATACACGTGCACACTCATATGTGGTGTCTCCTCACGAGTCCCACCACCGCCCTTGCCTGGTTAGTTGTGTGAGTTCGGGCAAGATGCTGACTTTCTCCAACCCTCCATCCCCTGGCTTCCTCAGCTGTAAAATGGGGATGCTAGTTGCTCCTTAGAGGATTGTTAGGAGATCATATGAGACACAACCCAGGTACTGCGAATGAAGTGAAGATGGTGTTAGTACTGCAAAATGATTACTGGCCGGAATAGCCCAGGAGAGACATTCCCAATTGCAGAGGGCAGCCCGTGTGTCCAGAGCTGGTTCGGGGCTTTAGCTAGGAATCACGGCCAGTAAGGACAAGGCTTGGACAATAAACTGTCACAGAACATCGGGGAACATTCCAAACGGCCCTGCTCGCCCCCTCAGATTGACAGAGACCAAAAGTTATGGCGAGTCTGGGGGGAGATGAATCTTCCCATAGGACCCGATAAGGGGGATCTGGTGATAAGTCACACACTTATAGATGTGGGACCCTTGGACCCAGCAATACTCTTCCTTGAAATCCATCCCAAAGACAGACCAGCAAAAGTATCAAATGACGTTGGGACAAGGCTATTTGATGCAGCAGAAAAGACTCGAAATAATCCAAATGTCCATGCATAGCTACTCAGAAACTACCCAAAGTGAAGGAGGGAAGGAAAGAAGAGAGAATGAGAGAGAAGAGAAAAGAGGATACATTTCATAAATTCCTATGGCGTAGTCTCTCCAAGATACATTGCTAAAAAACCAAGAAGTTATATATAACTATATATACGGTGGATGTGTGTGCACGTGCACACGTGTGTAAGGAAATGGGGAGGGATATATATAATTTCCAAGACGAACCTCACCACCTATAATGTAGGAACTCAATAAATACTTATTAATTGAATAAATAAGTACAAATAAAAAAAATTTCCAAAACGAAAGAAAAGAACGAGTTTTTAAAAACTAAAGGAGTGTGTACTGTATGATCCCATTTATATGGACTTCCTGATAAGACAAAAGTCATAGAAGCAATCAGAACAGTGCCTGCCAATCAAAATTGATGTTGAGGGAGATGGGGTGGAGGCAGGTTCTCTCTATACCTTGCTTTATAGGTTTGACTTTGGAACCATATCATTACTTTTACTAATTTAAAAGGAAGCATGGACAAAAGAAAAAAGCAACAGCGAACAACGGACGGCAGCGGAAAACAAACAAATGTGGCCATATATCAAGATTTCTTCCATGGGACACAAAGCACAAGCCATAAAAAAAAAAACTTGAAAGACGACTTCATCAAAGCACCTGCTCTTCAAAAGACACCGTGGGGGAAGAAAAAAAGTTTAGCCACAGGCAGGAAAGCAGTATTTGCAGAACAGGTATACAGAATATAAAAGAACTCCAACTGAACGATTTTAAAAGTGCAATGTTAAAAGTGGACAAAAGACCCAAACGGGCACCTGCGTGGCTCAGTCAGTTAAGTGACTGCCTTTGGCTCGGGTCATGATCTCAGGGTCCTGGGATCGAGTCCCATGTGGGGCTCCCTGCTCAGCAGGGAGTCTGCTTCTCCCTCTTCCCTTTCCTGCTCTCTCTAATAAATAAATAAGATCTTTTTTTAAAAAAAAAGACCCAAACAGACACTTCACTAAAGAGAACATGGTTGTGGCTAATACATACATGAGAAGGTGTTCAGCATCTCTAGCCACCTAGGAAATGTGAAAACCAAAGGGACCTCTGGTTAAATTTTTAAAAACAGACAATCCTAAGTGTTGACAAGAATGGGCAACAACTAGAACCCTTATACGCTGCTGGTGTGGGTGCGAAATGCTGCATCACTTTGGAAAGCTGCAGTTTCTTATAAAGGTAAACGCAAGCCCGCCTGTGACCAGCAATTCCACTTCCGGATTTTTGCCCAGGTGAGATAAAAACATATGTTCAAAAAAAAAAAGATAAAAAAGACCCGTATGAGAAGATTCATAGTAGCTGTCTTCCTAATCGCCAAAATTTAGAAACAACCTAGATTATCTGTGAACAGGTGAGCGGATAAACATTTATAACAAGGAATACTGCTCAACAGCAAAAGGAAGGAATTATGGATGTACTTGGCAACATGCGTGTGTTGTCAAGAAAGGATTTTGAGCAAAAGAAAAACCCTGACCTAAAACAGTACATAACTGGTGATTCTATTTATTTGCAGTTCTAACGCAGACCAAGCTGAGCCCCGGTGAGGGAACTCAGAACAGCGGTTGCTTCTGGGGTGGGAGTGGAAGGTTGACTGCAAAGGGCACACTAGAATTTCTAAAATGATGGAAAGATGACTGTCATGACTACTTAACTATTCATTTTTCCAAACTCCTGGAGCTTGCACCCCTGGACTGTTAAAAACGTCAAAAACTAATGTGAAGTAGTGGCAGAGATGACAAGTACCCCAAATTCTCATCATCTGTCATCAGTGGGAGCATCCAAAATCTGGAAGTTTCTTTGCAAAACTAAACATAAACCTGTCCTATGACCCAGATACATCATGCCTAGGTGTTTCCTCAGGAGAAGGGCGACATGTCCGCCAAAAAGATAGACACAAAGGCTCCCAGCAGCTTTATTTAAAATAGCCCCAAACTGGGTACCTGGGCGGCTCTGTCAGTTAAGCGTCAGACTCGGCTCAGGTCACAATCTCAGGGTCATGAGATCGAGCCCCATCTTGGGGCTTAAGAGTCTCTCTCTCTCCCTCTCCCTTTGCCCCTCCCACCTCCCCCTCTCTAAAAAAAATAATAAAAAGAAATTAGTCCCAAACTAGAAACCACTCTGGTGCCCATAGACAAGAGGATGGATAAACAAACTGTCGTATATTCACAGGCTGCAATACTGCTCACCAATGAGAAGGCACCACTCATGCAGCCACATAAACGAATTGCAAATGCATTGTGTGAAAGAAGCCTCCCACAGGAGTGCGAACTGTATGATCCCATTTATATGGACTTCCTGATAAGACAAAAGTCATAGACTCAATCAGAACAGTGCCTGGCAATAGGGGTGTGGATTTATTAACAGAAAGGGCTTGAGGGAACTCTGGGCTGGTAGAGACGTCCCATGTCTTGATAGGGGTTGGCATTACACAGGTGTATGCACTTCTCAAAACTTGCAGAACGGTACAGTGAGATTTGTGTCTTTCATTACAAACTTTTTCAAAAGCTGCAGATAAATACTGAGTTCTAGTTAATGACCTATGGAAGCTGAAGTGTTCAGGATTAAAGTGTACTGATGTCTGCAGCTCACTTTTGAAGCCACTGAAAGGTAGGAAGGGTTGATGGATTCTTAGATGGATACATCTGTGAAAAAACAAATCTTGCAAAATGGCGACAGGTGTAGGATCAAGGTGGTGGGTCTGGGGGTGTTCACAATTATTTCCACTTTTACGCTTGCACATTTTTTTTTTACAATAAAATGAGGAGGGGGCAAAAAGTAAAGGAAAAAAGAAATCTCTAAAAGTGGAAAACAAAAATGAATGTAACTTGTATGTGAGTTTGATGGCAGAACTATACAGAGCAGACTTATTTAAATGAGGCAGCACAGCACTGTAGTATTTATGGGCAAAATTATACTTGAGCCACAGGATCACTTCTCTGAGATCTCTGCCCACCCCAGGAATGGGCAGCAGCCTGACCCGGGTTAGACCAATCAGATCTCCTTGTGCAGGACTTTGGAACTGGCGCAGAAGCAGACCACTGGGTTTCCGCTGTTTGCATGAACGATGGGCATTTAAACCTAGTGGCCATGGGAGAGCTTTCATTACCCACATTTCTAGAAAGGCAGAATGGCACAGCTCACCCTTTTGTGATGGGGATGCAAAAAGCTACATGACAACGGCATCGAGAGGGAGAATGGGGACCATCGCTACAATCTATTGTATGGAGGAACAGAAGCGTAAGTGCTCAGGGAGCATCTGCTTTACATGTGTATCACGTGTGCAGGCAGCAATACAACTGTCCCCGGGAGCCCACAGCGCCATCTGCTGGCCACAGTTATTCCAGGGGCGGCTCCCACAGCGCCATCTGCTGGCCACAGTTATTCCAGAGGTTGGGTTGCTCCAGCAGGGAACTGGGAGGGAGAGATTGGGTGTGTGCTCTCAGGCTGCACATCTTCCTCCTTAACGAGATCAACTTCCTCCAAGCATCAGCAACTACCAGGATGCCAGCTGTGAGGTGTGGTAAACCTGAAGGTGCCGTCTTTGAGGGGGGGCAGTCTGGGCACGCAGGTGGGGGTGCATGGCATAACAGGTGCCCCATACATCATGAGCACAAGAGATTTGTGATTACAACTGTTTCTCAGCTGATGGGGAAAAAAGGGCATCTTGAGGAAGCGCTTCCTTAATTCCCACAAAGGTGCTGTCGTCATGGGCATCACCTCTCTGGTGGGGGCCTGCCTCCAGCCCCACCTCCTTAGCAGTCCCTCTGATCTCTCTCTTACCATTAACTGTGGCGCCCACACCCTAGAGTCTTGAAACCTCCGGTTTGGCATTCCTGCCCATGTGCCCAGTCCCTTTTGCCTCCACTTGGTGTCAGCTCATCCTCACTTCTCTGTTCCATGGCAGGGTTCGGGGCATGTCCTCTGGAGCCTGTCCACACCCCTGTATGCATAGGTGCCTGAGATTTAAGGCTTGCTGCATCCCCCAGAGCCCGGCATGCAGAAGGTGCCCAATTACTATAGGTTGAATGTATGACTGAATGAATGAGTGAATGAATGAAGGAACAAACGAGCTGCATGCTCCTCTCATCCAGTACACCCCATTTGGCTTAAAATCCCCTGGATATCTTACCTCGGGAAACAGGGTCCTTGGACAGGGTTGGGTACAGTCTTCCTCTTGGGGGATTTTGGGGATGGTAGTCCCCCTCACACAGGGTTGAGATCCAGGCTGCGGCTCTGCACTGGGACCCTTTGAGGGTGAATGAATGAGGGAGCTGATGGGCTGGGCTCTCAGCATCGTTTCCCCCCCCATCCTGGCCACTGCCACCAGGGGGCAGCATCAGGCTGCACAAGTCAGCCTGGCCTCCTCCCTCTGGGCTCGGTGGGTCCCAAGGTCCCCATCCTGCCCCTCCCCTGGGCTCCCACCATCACCCTCCCTGCAGGGCTTTTCCAGTGCTCCCCAAGGCTACCCTGGGGCTGAGAACTCCTGTCCTACCCTGAATCCCTCAGGCCAGGCTGGAAGGAGAGAGGGCATGAGGTCAGCCCAAGGGTTGGCACCCAGACATAGAGCCCCCCAAGAGGGAGCCAGGAGGCCTGACTGGGCTCCTCGGGGGCCCCTCTGTAAGCATCAGCTCTCCACCAGACTCAGGGCTCCTGGAGGACAGGTTTTTGTTTGTTCATTTTTCACCTTTGAGTCCCCAAAATGATGCGGAGCATAAAGGAGGAAGCTGTTAAAGTGTGGGCTCTGTCGCTCACAACTGTGTGTGACCCCAAGCAGGCATCTCCACCTCCCTGCACGATGGGTCTGATAATAATCCTCGCTGCCAAGAGTGTTAGGAAAATTTCATAGACAGTTTTACCTTGTTGGCTGATCCTTTATGCATGTCTATGGTCCATTCTATTCCATCCTGCTCCTGGGCATTTGCACTTGCTGTTCTGCACCCGAATGCTCTTCCGGTGAGCTCTGTCTGGAATGGACAGGTTCATGTATTCGGTTACTTGATCAGTGTCTATTGCCCCTAAAATGTCAGCTCTGTGAGAGCAGGGACCTCATTAGTTTTGTTCATATTTGTCTCTTCAGTACCTATCACAGTGCCCAGGACACAGTAGATGCTCAATCAAACTTTGTTGCATGAGTAATGAATGAAAGATATCCACGTGAAGAACCTCACTCTGTGCCTGGCACGTAGAAAGCTTGCAATGCATTCGCAATCAATAATGTTAATAAGCAAGACAATAATAAGCAGAGTCATAAAAGCCAGGGCTGGAGGCAGGCCATCCCAGGAATGGCATAAGCCTGGACTTTTGGTAGCTAAGGGTCCTGGGAGGCCCCCTGGTCCTCTCCTGCTGTGTGACCCTGGGCGCCTCACTCACCCTCTCTGGGCTATGCTATCTTCTTGAGCAATAAGGCTCTGCAGCTGGGGCCTGCTTAAAAGAAAAAGGCAATGCAACTTCTTTGTTCTGCTTCCTGCTCATCCTCTCCTCCCAGAAGGGCCCACCTCGGGCAAGGTGACGGGGAGAGAAAGGAATCCGGAGGGATGAGTTGTAATTGTCATTCTTGGGCAGGTGTGGGGTGGGGCTTTCCCCAGAGCCCTCCCTTCCGTCTGCTCTGTCTGCGGGGGCGCCGGGAGCCCTGGGCGGGGACTTGCTGGGTCAACTCGGGGCATCCCCTAACCTCTCTGAGCTAAATTTCCAGCTCTGCCAACCACCCTGTCTGCCTCCTCTTCCGCCCAGCCTGGGGCGAGCTGGGGGCTAGAGGAATGTGAGGAGGTGTGTGCTGCTAGGGGTACCTCACACCCAAGCCCCCTGCCTACCGGGGCCAGGAAAGGAAAGCGGCGGTTTCTCCTGTCCTGGGTGCCCTTGGAAGCCCTCTCACTGAACAGCAGGCACCTCGATGAGAGGGGGTGACAGGGTTACTGCTTTCCTGGGTGGCTGCCGTCCATCCCCTGCCCTCAGAACTCCAGGACAGAGCCCTCGAGGCCTGCCTGGTGGAGAGGGGGACTTTCTAGACAGAGAAAGCTCTTGGGGTCTGGGGGAGAGCCTCAGGAGCTGTGTGGTAGGGGCGTGTGGTTATGCACGCTTCTGTCTGCGTGTGTTTGCGTGTGTGTGGGGAGATGCTGATGTTGCTCGTGATGTGGGTCCTGTTGGGTCGGGGGCGTGTCTCATCTGCATGCTGTGTTTGTGTGCAGAGCAGGTTTGCACGTGGAGATATTTGTGTGTGTGTGTGTCCCTTCACCTGGTGTGGGCCACGTGTCTGGGACTTGCCATGTCTGTGTGTCTGCACGGGAGAGGTATGCAGACGGGGTATCTGGGCATGGGGTGTGTTCACACAGGTGGGCTCCTGGGCCCATCTTTTTTCTCCTTCAGCCAACAGGCATGGCCAACTGACTTGGACCTTGTCCTGAGCAGGTTCCAGCCGCAAGAGCTGCCTGCACTCCACTGGCCTCCCCATGCAACTCCTTCTCAACTGCAGGCTCTCCTGGCTCCACTTTACAGAAGGGTAAACCTAGTCATCTGTCAGGCCCCTCGTCCTTGACATATCTCACTGCATCCCATGACACGGCTGCAGCCCCTATTTCTTCAACGTGTACTTACTGAGCACCTACTATGTGTCAGGCATACGAAACCAAGGGAGGCAGACAAGGTGCCCGCCCTGGGGAGCACACATTTTAGGGGTACCATATTTGGTTCAGGGTGGGCAGAGGGTCCCCTCTTCTGAGGTGTAATGACCAGAAAGAGGCAGCCTGGGAAGATGTGGGGGAAGAGAGTTTCCAGCTGTGGGAACAGCATGTGCAAAGGCCCTGAGGTACCCGGTGGGGTTGCAGTGGTGGGAGCAGAGGGACATGAGATTGGGCAGAGAGTGCTGAGACCTGGTAAGACCACCTGGGGCTGCTACATGGACGGGCAGTGGCTGGAGGCAGACCAGGAACCTGGACGTGACTGTCCAGAAAGTAGCGGCCCAAAAGAGACAAAGAGCACTAGGCGGGGAAAAGCAGGTGTTCCCAGAGCCCGAGCTCCCATCCCTGCTCCAGCCCAGGGAGGCCCCTCTCTGAGTCATCGGCGGGGTGGGATGGGGTGGGGTGGGGTGGGATGGTGTGTGTGTGTGTGTGTGTGTGAGACATATCCCGGGCGAGGGGAGGGAATTCGGTCTAAATGGCCTGGGGAATGAGCACCTTGGGGTGTCACATGGCGACATTCAAATCTCGGCCCGTCCAGTTAGTGCTGTGTGACCTTGGGTAAGTTGCATTGCTGATCTGAGCCCCATTTCCCCATTTGTAGAATGGGACGACAATTTTTCTGGGTTGTGATAAGGCTTTAAGAAGTTCCACTGTGCCGGTCACCAGCTCTGACACACATTATGGTGTCTAGTGTGCTTGGCACATTGTAGGGAGCAGAACTGGGCAGCTATTGTCATTACGAGGGTGACACCTAGATTTAAGCAAGAAGTGTTTTAAAAAGCAAATAAAAAAAAATGCTTACAGTGTACCAGGCTGTGTCCTAAGCATCCATGAATCTCTCACTTCTACAACATGACCACCTTTACTGAGAGATGTGCTGACGTTGTCCCCATTTTACAGATGAAAAATGGAGGTGCTGAGAGAGGGGACCTGTTGAAGAGACACCCAGTCCTTGAGGACTCCAGACCTGCCGTTATCAACCCCAGGCATACCACCCCTGTCTTCTACCTGACAGGTCTACACATCCAGCTTGCTCATGCTCCCTACTGGAGTTTTCTTATGTCAAGTCAATCCGAAGTGTTACAGCAGATGAGTCTGGTTTTCATTTAAAGAGCAACAGGGAGTTACAGAACGGTTTTGAGCAGGGGAAGGACATGGTGACAAAGATTCTCTCCCTGGCCAAACTGTATGTAGGTCCCTCTGAGCCCTCTGCTCTACTAGGCCCATATGTGAGCCTCTGACCCTGCCCTTGGAGAGTCCAGTTTTGGCAAGAATCCCGTCAAGCTGGTTTAGCCAGAATTCCCTACCCTAAGATCTCACCAAATTCCTCATCCCCTGTCACCTCCCAGGGGATGCCTGATTGCCTTGGCCTGTCTTCGTCTTCTGCAAGAATCCTGCCAGGTCAGCTTAGCCAGAATCCCCCCTTCCCTCCGATACTTCCTCCTAGCAGTTCCCCACTCACTGACCCCGCTCTTTGGCTATATAAATCCCCACTTTTCCATGCCATATTCGGAGCTGAGCTCCATCTCTCTCCCTTAGGGCAAAGCCCCATAGCCATGGTCCCTGAACCTTCACGACAGTCCTGAATAAAGTCCATCTTACTGTTTTAACAAGTGTCATAAGATCTTTTTTCTTTAGCAATGGTTGGATTTATGCTTTTGAAAACTCACTCTGGCTGCTGCATAAGAAACAAGCATGGGCACCGATATTAGGGGGAGGCACAAGCAATGGCAGGAGGCCACTCCTCCTGGTGAGATGGAAGAGGCCCCAGTCATGGTGGGAAGGGACGGGGGGGACGGGGGCAGGTGGGTGGAGAAGTCTCCACTTCATCCCTGCTCTTAGACCTTCCCTGGCTGCCAGCACTCTTAAAGATGAGGCTTCCTAATGGAGACCCATAAATTTAGTCCACTCTGGCTCCTGTTACCATACCGCACACTCCCTCTCCTCTCTCCCTGAGTTCTAGCCCCACCACACTCCTGCCTCAGGGCCTTTGCACTTGCTCTAATCTCCCTCAGGAATGTCTTTTCCTTTGTCTGTTTAATTCCTGATCTTCCAGAAGATCTCAGGCCAACCAGCACTTTCCTGGCTTCTCCATCCCAGTGACTGTCCTTGCTGCGGGTACAGCGGGATTTTATACCATTGTGATTACTGGTTTAACATCTGCCTCCCCTCTTATTTTTTTTCTTTTTTTAAAGATTTTTATTTATGTGAGAGAGAGAAGGAGAGAGAGAGCACAAGCAGGGGGAGCGGCAGAGGGAGAAGGAGAAGCAGGCTCCCCTTCGAGCAAGGAGGAGCAAGGAGCCAGACGTGGGGCTCGATCCCAGGACCCTGAGATCATGACCTGAGCTGAAGGCAGATGCTTAACCGACTGCACCACCCAGGAGTCCCTGCCTCCCCTCTTAAGACTATAACCCCCTGGGGGAGAGGGGACAGAACCCACACAAGTTTTGTTTAGTCCCAGGCTTGGAACAGAGCTCAGGTGCAATAAATATTTGTCAGGTGGCTGAAGAGATAATTGGTCCTTATTGGGCTTTTGAAAAGTTAGGCCAGATCTCCTCATCTGCTGCTGGCTCAAGTCTGGCCATTAGGCTAGTGCCATCGGATGGGGTCACAATGGTGGGCTGACGTCTCGGGTTGCAGGAGGCTCAAGCCATGACAATTTGGGAGCGAGAACTCAGCCCTGGGACCGGTCTTATCTGACAGGGCCGAGGGCAGGGCCCTCATTGAGCCACAGAGGCTTACCCAGCCCACCACCTGGCATCCTCCTTATCCACCGGCATGCTGTCTCAACAGGAGGTGACTCCTCCTGGGCGGGTACTGGGTGGGCACTTTTTACTTCTGGATGCTCAGCACCCCAAAGAGAGCCGGGCGGCACACCCAGTGAATGACTGTAGCCCAGAACTGCACCAAACTTGGGTGTGAAATTCTCAGAGACTGTGGTTAGTTGAGAAGAAAGAGAAAGGCTGTTCCTGCTGCTACAACAAAACCACCAAAGACTGGGTGGCCCAAGCAACAAAAATTGACATCTCACAGTTCTGGAGCCTGGGAAGTCCAAGATCAGGGTGCTGGCAATTGGGTTCCTGGTGGAGGACCACCTTCCTGGCTTGTGGACAGCTGTGTTCTTGCTGCGTCCTCAGTGGTCTCTTCTTTGTAGGCAATCAGAGGAGGAATGGAGGGTGAAAGAGGGAGAGATTGAGAGGCAGTTAGTGCTGGATGGGCTTCAGCAGGGCCTAGAGTCCCAGGACAGCTCTGGGATCCCTCCCCCTTTCCACCAACATAAGCCTCGGTCCAGGGCTGGGCTCGCTCTTAGGGGCCCCTCTTGGTGGGACGCGCTGTGAAAAGGTGGGGCCAGGGAGGTGTCACTTCTCTGTGCCTCAGTTTCCTCTCCTGTTACACGAGAGTCTTGTCATTTACCTGCACAGACAAGGGACTCAAGGACTCTAGGAGGGAGTGCAAATTAAGAACAAACAAGAGAACAAATCAGTAGCTTTCCCTCTTTTTTTTCTTTGCCTTTTTTTTTTTTTTTTGCCTTCCTTTCCTCCCCTCTTTTCTTCCCTTCAGTTCTTGGCTTGTTTCTCTTCTACCTCTCTTTTTATTCCTTCTCGACGTTCCTGGAGCTCTTTCTCTCCGCCAAGATGGAGGCGCCCCGGGCCTTCCGCATTCTGGAACGAAGGTCAGCTTCGGGCCGGACCTGCTGCTGGTGGTTAGGGCAGGGACCTGCACGAGCCCTCCACTCCTCAGGGTAGTTTCCCGACCTGACGGGCAGCACCGGCGGGCAGCCCCCG